TCCGTGGGTCGAGAGCGCACGTCTTCCGGTCGAAGCTAAGCGGGCCGCGCGAAGCTCGAATTAGGCGGAGAAGAGGAGGGAGGAAGCGGCGGAACCGCAGAGCGCGGAGCGAAGAACAAGCACACCAGTGGATGTCAGAGAGGTCCGGCCACGCGCAGAGGGGGGGCAGGGGGAGGCGGGAGGGCTTCTGAGCAGCACCCCTGCTTCTTAGGAGGCGCGGGCCTCCTCTGTAGATGTAAGGCCGGGGCCTTCCAAGAAGCGGGCTGCTTCCAAGAAGCCTTCCCCCCTCCCCCTCGTTACCCGCTGCTGTGCGCCGCCAAGAGGTGGCCCCCGACGCGGGCGCTCAGGCTCGAAGATCCTGCGTCGGCGCCCCGACGGGCCACGGTCGAGCGGCTCGTGGTGTGGAGCTGCAGGCGGGGCCTCGCCTGCGGCGCGCCTCGCCCACGGCGGGAAGCGCGGCAGGGGGCCGGCGGAAGTAGAAGAGCGGCGGGGGCGGAAGACAGGGTGAGACGTCGATGCGTTTCTCGGGGGCGGCAAAGACGGGGGTGAGGACTAAGGGGCGGGGGATATCATGGCGTGGGCCATGATATTTCCCCAGATTTCATGGCGCCTCTTCTTATTCCAATATGTCCCTGGCCTTCCCCTGGGCCGCGCACATGCCGACGGCCATGATTTAGTCGCTGAGACTGAAGCTAGTGGACGAAAAGGGGTACACACTGAGTCGTTCCGCAATCGGGGACGCCTGTCCTCAGGCGGCTGGAAGGCAGGAACCCCGACGTGCCACCGTGGGGGTATAAACTTCCATCCGCCCTGGGACAGGCTTCCCAGATGGCAGAACAGTTTACGCTATACTGTTCTTCTTCCACTAGTGATGGGGCAACAGCTGGTCGCAAGGGACTCGGCACGAGCCAGGACCAGTTCTTTGGTTCTTTCAACTGAGCGTCTCCAGCGGTCCAGAGCCAGGCCTGCATCGATCGAGCAACGCAGCCTGGCGTAAGCATTGTTTCTCGAAGGTCCGCGCGGATCTCTGCGATCGGCGATAGGGCCCCCCTGGCGGCACATCTGGCGCCGCCCCTCGCGCGCCAGCGAGGGGGGGGCCAGCGCCGATCCGGACCTCCGAGAAAAGTATGCTCGCGCAGTCGATTGCTCCTTCAGCACGCACGTCAGCCCCACGAGCGCACCGTCCGAAGTTTCAGTCGGGCCTGTCCTTCTACAGGAGGGATCTTTAAGAATGGTAAAAAAAGTAGTCTGGGGACGCGCTTTTGACTAATTTTGTCAATTTTGAGGCAATTTGGGGGTATCTTTTAATTTTCGTTCAAAATCCGCTTGTAGGGGGACAGGCCCGACCTAATCCTAAGTGGGGATAGGTCCCGCGACGCCCGAACGAACCAGCACAGATCCCCGCCTGCTAGGTGGGTAATGTAGGCCAGGGGGGCCAAGGCCGCGCTGTAGTGGGCAACGGCACCGGTTCAACGCTGCGAATCCTGGCCCAGGGTCCCTGCAGCTTTCCGCGCCACTCGGCACGCTGCAGACGGCGCCGCGGGACGTCAGCAGTTTCGGGCTCAGGGTGCCCGAAGCCGCCCATGTCGGAGCCCCTACAGCCCGGGGGCGGGCGATCCTGGCGCAAGGCGCATTCCAGAATGATCAACTCGGTCTGGTTCGGAGTCGGTTCCGGCCAGGCCGAGCCGATTCGATTCCGATTTCGACGATCCGACGCGTGCTAATGTTCGCCTGATGTTCGCAGGGGGGCTTTGTTGAGCATCCTGTCGCGGCCGATCCTGTTTGATGCCGACCACGTGCCGATGCGGCCCTACCCGAAGCACATTCTGATTCGAGCCAGTTTCCTGCTTCGGTGCTGACGAATGTTGCTGCCATCGCGAGGATCGGCGGCAGACTCCGATCCCTACACTCGCCGATCCGCGGTTCAGGAAACCCGATGGGCGGCGGGGGTAGGGTTCGGAATTCGCCGAGCACGTGGCGAAGTCCGAACCCCAGCCCCGCCTCCCATCGATCCAGGAGAATCGATGGTTGGTGGGGGTCGGGTTCCCTGACGTCGCCACCTGATCATCGCGAGGAGGCAGGGAGGGTCCTCCTGTCGGCGGCTGCAAAGGGTACGGTTACGCCGGGGTGTGGTTTCGTTGAGCCCCGGGAGCACGCCTTCCTCGTCGGGCCTCCTCGGGGCGCGGCGGAGAGCTCTGCTGAGGTCCGCGCCCGCCCCCTCCCAGGGTGCCCCCCCAGGGTGCCGGTTGCAAACCACACCCTCTGCAAACCACACCCTTCGGAGTCGTCGATTCCGTCGTCGATTCCGTCCTCGTCGTCGTCGTCCTCGTCGTCGTCGTCGTCGTCGTCGTCGTCGTCGTCGTCGTCCTTGGTGACGCCCTCATTTCGAGGCATCTGCGAATTTTCCGGCTCGGGGAGGCCGAGGTCCCCCCTCCAGCTTCCCGCGCGCCACGTCGGAGCCCCTGCGGGCCCTCTGGGCCTCGTGGGGCGTGCTCTGCGCCGGGGCTCGGAGGAGCAAGGGGTTATGTTACACGCCGATCGTTGAAAGTACGTATTTTTTTGGATTTCCAGATCCCAATCTGCTTCAAGCGCCTTCCTACTTCGAGAATCGATGTGCCTTTGCTGCGTTGTGTTGTTCTCTGGGAGGGCCTGAACCCAACCTACTGCAACCGCCTTCCTACTTTTTCTTTGTACCTACTTCTTCCAACCGACGTGTGATGCTGCGTTCCAAGATTTCCAAGGTTCCCAGGATTTCCCATTTTTCGAATGTTCTGCGCCGGCTGCGCCGCTAGGTGCTCTGGAAATCTTGGAACGTAGCTTGAGCCACCTTGATCGTGACATCATTCTCGCCCTGGAGGCATCCGACGACATTCAGTATCCTTTGACACATCCCTGTCACCACCCCGTTCTCACCATCCCACCACCCCAATCGGGGATATTCCTCTCGAAAGTCGAAGGGGACGGTCTATATACCCATCTAGAAGGGTATATCGGCCAGTGGGGCCCAGGCCACGCTCGTGAGGATATGGGTCGGTTAAACCATGCTCAGATATGATTGTTTTATTCCGCGGCCCCAGAAACCCTGGCCCCTTGCCCAGGGGCAGTTCTGCGCCCCAGAACCGTTTTTGATGGCCTGATTCCTTCAAACTGCCCCCCGAGTGTTGAAATCGGGGAAACAACGCCGCTGGAAAAATCGTATCGCCGCAGATCTGGGGGCCCTGACTCTGGATCCGCCTTGCCCTGGGTGATTTCGCAAGTAGGGCTGATATTCCCGCCCTATTTTCGAAGCTCCTTGGATGCCAACTTTCGCCCTACTGTTCCGTCGCTGCTCCCGCCCTACTTTGGCTGATATCCGCCATATGTTGTGGACAGTTGTGTTGAACATTCCAGCGGCAGTTTCCAGCAAGTTGTGGAAATTTGCACAGAGCTGTGAATGTTTCATCAACGCTGTGGAACTTGAAAAAATGTCAGGCGGACACTTCCGCCTTAAATTCCTGCTGCTGACATAGAATGTGCCGCCTTATTAATCCTACGGGGTGCATTGCCGTCGAGCTATTGATTCGGAAAGTCAGCAACAGCACAGTGAGGTGGGGGCGTTCGTTACGGAATGTGCCCAGCAGGTTTCAGATCTTGGGGGATGTCTTATCTGATGAGGGCGGCGGCGATATCCATGGCCAAGCCTCTAACGGTGTTCCACCCCTGGAATCCTTACCCAGTGGTTCTTCATTATATATTCCTTATCCAATGCAGTCACCGTGCTGTAGATCCACCGCCGCCGTCGTTGTCGCCGTCGTCGCCGTCGTGGTTTGCGTCGTCGCTACCGTCGCAGACTCACTTCTAGAGTCTATAGTTCGTCTCGACGCCGGCGGAATGTTCGGGGAAAGCGAGGCTTGCGCTCGAGCGCGGGAAAGGGCGCTCTAGCCCGAGACTTCCCGCAATTCGCCCAATTCTGCGAAACCAGCAGTTTGCTCCGTGCTCGGGGAGAAGAATCCGCTCAGTGCTCGCCCCAGCGCAGTTGGATCACCTTGAGCATACGCCGTTTGAGGAAGTTGCCACTCGGGAGGGGAACAAACACACAGACACAATGAATCGTCGATTCCCCAGGTAACATGGGAAAATGCAGGAATTTGGGGGGAAGGCAAAAAGCTAGAAAATATGGGAAAACATTGGGAGTCCTGTTATTTGTATCTTTTTTGTGTCCCAGGGCCCGTTCAGGCACGCAATCCTCAACATCGGCATCCCTGTTGCCTGGGAGAAAAGTTCGCCCAAATCTGCAAAACCCCAGCTGCGATGACAGCCGCTCCCGCTCGATGCTTCCTCGCAGTTTCCTTCGAGACCACCGGGAGGCCCCTCGAACGCAGGAGCGGCGCCCGTTCCCGAGATTGCTTCGCACGCCGCTCAAGCTGGTGAGTTGCCCGCGGGCGCGCTGGCTCGCATGACGTCCATGGCGACGCGGTGCGCTCACATCTTCGTGGCATCGCTCGGACGTGTGCATTTTTTCTTCGGCGAGGAGCATCCTTGATCAGTTGGCGAAAAAAACACGCATGACACCGAACAAAAACACAGGGACTGGACGTCTGAGCGATGGCCAGTCTTCCCCCAGAACCCGGCACCAAAAGAAACTCCCGAAAACAGGGTTGGTTTGTACACTGTAGGCGTAGCGGGCGGGTACAGGGGAGAGGGATCCATAGTGAAATGAAGGCCACTGCAGTTTGTCAGGCCACATGTTCGCGGGATGGTCGAAGTCGTTGTCGCCGCCGTCGTCGTCGTCGTCGTTGCTTTTCGTTGCCATGGTTATTTACGTGTTCGTGTTCGCCTCCGTTGTGGTTGTTTTGGTGTTCGTCGCCCTTCGGCGTTGTTGTTTTTCGTTGCCATGGTTGTTTTCGACTTCGTGCTCGTCTCTTGTCGTTGTTTTGGTGTTCGTCGTCGTCGTCGTTTTCGTTTTCTTGGTCGTCGTCGCTGCCGCCCGCGGCCCGCGGTGGCAAAGTCGCCGCCCCGAGGGCCCGGGCGACCACGGGCGCGGGCTCTCGCCGCCGCCACCGCCCGCGCAGGCCCCCCCCCCTCCGAGCCACCCCCCCCTCCCTGCTTCCTTGGTCGAGGAGCTCCGAGGATCGAGGAGCCTCGACCCCCCCCTTCCCCGTTTCTGAGGATCTCCGCGGACCCGCGGAGCTTCGACCCCCCTTCGAGGACCTCCGCGGCGCCAGGCGCTCCGAGGATCGAGGCCTCTCGGCGTGCCTTCGCCCTCTCTGGGCCTCCCGGAGGCCTCCGAGAAGCCTCTCTCGGGGCTGGCGGGGGGGGGGCGCGCGGTCCCGACCCCCCCGGGGGGAGGCGGCGGCGCGGCTGCGCCCGTCGAAGAGCCAGGCCTCCTGGGCATTTCGTGGCCCTGCTGGGGCCTCGGGGTGGTAACCTCGGGGTGGTGGTGATCTCATGGCCCCCCTCCTCGTCCAATACGCCCCCTGGAAGCCCCACAGGAGGCCCCACAGGACGCCCCAGAGAGGCCGAAGGGCCTCTCTGGGGCTTCCTGTGGGGCCTCCTCCTGTGGTCCTGTGGGGCTTCCTGTGGGGCTTCCTGCGGTGCCTCTGGGAGGTCCTGTGGTGGCCTCCTCCTCCTCCTCCTCCTCCTCCTCCTCCTCCTCCTTCTCCTCTTCCTCGTGCTCCTCCTCCTCTTCTCCTCCTCCTCCTCCTCCTCCTCCTCCTCCTCCTCCTCCTCCTCCTCCTCTCCCCTCCTCCTCCCCCTCCTCCTCTCCTCCTCCTCCCTCCTCCTCCTCCTCCGCCTCCCCCCTCCCCCTCCCCCCCCCTCATCTTCCTTCCCCTCCTCCCCCCTCGTCCGCGCGCGTGCCCTTGGCCACGGTGCGCAGATCGCCTCCTCCTGGCCCTCTCGTCTGCGGCGCACCCGAGGACGGAGGGTCGGAAGATCGCGGCGCGTTGCCGACGCACCGGCGATGTGGCGCGATTTAGGGCCCTATTTGGCTCATTGTCAACGTCGCCGCTGCGCCTGCGGCGCGGCGAAACCTGCCGCGCCGTGCACTCGGGCCCCAGATGCCAAGGGAGGAAAGCCCAACCCGACCCCCGGAACTGGCGTTTGCTAAACGGCCCTGGGCGTTTACTAAATAGCCCCGTCATGTTCGATTCCTTCCTTTTGGTGGTGCGTTTACTGGACGGATTTGCATGTCGGGGGGCTAGGACAGGGATCAAATCTGTCCAGAACGCTCTGAGAAGGCCGCGGCGCTCGATGCATCTTCCAGAACCGCTGGACCTCAGAGATCCCCGATGTATCCCTTTCCGATGTTGTCCCTGTCCTGGTTTTCTCTTACCATCCACTCGGGCCCCCTCTGTCGGCGGCGAGCGAGGGGGGGAAGTGCGAAGGAGAAGGCCCTCTCAGAAGGCCGCGGGGCTTCTCAGAAACCTTCCCGTCTTCGGGGAAGGTTTAGGGGAACTTCTCAGAAGGCCAGGGAACTTCCAAGCCTGTCGAGAAGGCCCGCCCCCCCCCGGGCTGGCCGCCGAGAGCGGCCCTTGACGGCCCCAGGACACGGCGACGACGACCGAAGACGACCGAGGGCGCCAGTCGACCAACAGCGACGACGACGAGGTCCGACGACGACAACGATGGACGGCGCCGACGCCGACGACGAGGGACGAGGGCCCCACCAGTCCGCCCCAGGGGGGTCGGTCAAGCGCTCAACGCGGGCTCCGCGTGGTTCCAGCCCCGAGCTGGCCGCCGAGTGCGGGCGGCCTCTCGTGGTCCGTGCCGGCCCACGAGCGGCACGCCTCCAGGGAGGGCCCTGCCTGAAGTCGGGGCCGTCCCTCTCCAGGAGGACTGTTCAAAAATAGGAAAGAATAGTCTGGGGGCGATTCCTGAGCATTTTCTGACCATGCTGGGGGCATTTGCTTCGTATGCTTTACTTTTCGTCCAAAATTTCCCTGTAGGAGGACAGGCCTGACTTAGGCCTTGCCTGCTGCGCGTCCCTCCCGCGGCGGGAAGCCCTCTGCGGGAGTCTGCGGCGGCGGCGGCGGGCCCCCCCGCCGGCGGCAGGCGGCGGAAGGGCGACGGCGAGGCGTGCACGCTTTGAGGCAGCGGCGAAGCGTCTGGGCTTGCTGGTACACATTTGTTCACTTCTGATTCTTCGAACGTTATTTGATTTTTTGGGGGGCCAGGATCCTTTCATTTCTAGTTGCTCTATCCTGGGCCTCTTCCTGGCCACTAGGGGGCCAGGAACAGCTAGAAACGAACACAACTAGAAATGAGCACGATTGGAAATGAACGACGCGTAGGCCCAGCAAAGGATGTTCTAAAAACCTGTTGTCCTGGGCCTCTTAGGTGGGGTCAGAGTAGGTGGGGTCGGAGGATCGCGCCGCATCGCCGATGCACTGGCGATGCATCGGCGATGCGGCTCGATGTGGGGCCCGATTTTCTCCACGCCGACGTCGCCGATGCATTGCCGACGTCGCCAGCGCATCGCCGATGTATTGGTGATGCGGCGAGATCCTCTGACCCCATGTATTCGAACCCCATCTAGAAGGCCTATATGTGAGGCTTGCACGACATGTTCTTAGAGCATTTCTGGCTGAAGCTGTCTTGTTTCAATGCTCCGGGCTTATGCTCTAAGAACTTTGTTTCTGTTATTCGAATATGTGTTGTTTATAAGAAGACTTCGTGGTAGGCCTATAGGAATCATGGGTCGGTCGGTCCCTGCTCAACACTTTGGGAACCAGGATTTTCGGGCGGGTGGTAATGGGGGGTAATCTAGATGGTGGGTGAAGAAAATGGCCCTCAGGGACCCTTTGGGGCCCCTTTTGGAGCCAGCAGGGGCCAAAAAGGGGTCCCCAGGGGCCCATCTCAGGCCCTTTTCTTCAGCCCCCCATGCAGGTCACCTCCCATTACCACCCGCCCGAGATTTTCCTCAGTCGGGGAAGCGTAAGACTCGAGTTCGCCCGAACCTGGGTCTGCCTGCGCTTCTTGACGGGCCCGTCCCGGGTTTTGACGGTCCGGTTTTCGTGGGATGTTTGCGGCGGGAGTTCGCGTCATGAGACAGGGTCTCGATTTTCCTGATGGTCTCGTCAAGCCAACCCGAGTCTCATGGACTCGAGTCCTACGTCTCCCCGTGTCAGGGGCACTGATTGGGCTGGACCACCGCCCCTCCTCCTTCTCCGCCTCCTCCTCCTCCTCCTCCGCCTCCTCCTCCTCCTCCTCCTCCTCCTCCTCCTCCTCCTCCTCCTCCTCCTCCTCCTCTTGCGCCCCGAGGGGAGAGGAGCTGCGGCCTGGCGCCCGCCGCGGCGCCCGCGGCGGCGCCCGCGGAGCGCCCGGCCGCCAGCGAACTGCACCGGGAAGTGCTTCTGTCGCCCGGCTGCCCCGAGCGCCGGCGGCGCGACCTCGTTACAGGGATCGGGCCGAGCGAGCGAACGAAAGGGGGGGGGGAGGGGGTAGGGGGTAGGGAGAGGGGGAGGGGGGAAGGCACAAGGGGGTAGGGGGAGGGGGGAGGGGGGAAGGCTCCTTAGAAGGAGGCTGCTTCTCCTCCCCTCCCCCTACCCCCCCCTGCCCGGGCCGAACGTAAGGGGGGGATAGGGGGATAGGGGGAGGGTACGAAATCTGCTGCATGCAGCCGGTTTCGGCCCCGCCACCGGGCCCGTTCCTCGATGCATGTGCGCCTCCCGGCGCCGGGAGGCGCTGGGAAAATCGGCTATACGTGAGCTGATTCTCTACCCTACATTTTGCTATCCCCCCTCTCGTTCCCCCCGAAAGGACCTTGTTCTAGATATGGGCATGGGCTGCTGAACGTTTCGAACCCCCTGAGGTCCGACATAGCGAAGCAGTGGCAACATCGGGCAAAATCACTCCCAGAGCCCTATACAGACCCTTCTTTCTGCGGCATTTTTCGAGCCGAGCCGATCTGTGAGGGTCCCGGGGCCCGACAAAAAAAGGCGAAAACGCGCGGCTCGAAAAAATATGTGACTCCGCTTTTTGGTTGCCTTGGGGCCCGAGGACTTTCTCCGGAGGGCCGGAATGGCGCAAAAGATTTCCGCCTCGATAGTTTCGAGCCTCGACGCCCTGAAGCCTCGGCCCGCTTCGATCCTCGACCTTGATCATACTCCTCTTCCTTCTCCTCCTCCTCCTCTTCCTCCTGCTCCTGTTCCTCCTCCTCCTCCTCTTCAGCCGCTGAGGCGGCAGGCGGACTTCGTCCGCCCTACCCCACACCACACCTCCTCCTCTTCGCCCTACCTCCTCGCCCTAGTTACTTCCAGGAGGAGGAGGAGGAGGAGAAGGAGAAGGAGAAGGAGAAGGAGAAGGAGGAGGAGGAGGAGGAGGAGGAGGAGGAGGAGGAGGAGGAGGAGGAGAGGAGACGGAGGAGGAGAAGGAGGAGGAGGAGGAGGAGGAGGAGGAGGAGGAGGAGGAGGAGGAGGGAGGAGGAGACGGAGGAGGAGGAGGAGGAGGAGGAGGAGGAGGAGGAGGAGGAACAAGAGGGAGGATCGAGCAGGAGGAGGAAGTTCGAGAAGGAGGACGGAGCGAGCGAGGAGGAGGAGGAGGAAGAGGAGGAAGAGGAGCAAGAGGAGGAGGAGGAGGAATAGGAGGAGGAGGAGGTGGAGGAGAAACAAGAGGTGGATGAGGAGGAGGAGGAGGACGAGGCGGAGGAGGAAGAGGAAGAGGGAGAGGAAGAGGAAAAAGAGGAGGAGGAGGAGCAGGATGAGGACGAAAAGGAAGACGATGATGATAATGATGCTGATGATGATGTTGATGATGATGGTGATGGTGGTGGTGATGATGATGATGCTGATGGTGATGATGATGATGATGATGATGTTGATGATGATGATGCTGACGATGATGATGATGCTGCGGCTGATGCTGATGCTGATGCCGATGATGATGAGGATGATGATGATGCTTATGATGATGATGGTGGTTGTGGTGAAGATGGTGATGATGATGGAGGTGTCGCTGATTATGATGATGCTGATGATGCTGATGCTGATGCTGCTGCTGCTGCTGCTGATGATGATGATGATGATGATGATGATGATGAAAATGAAGCTGATGAAGCTGATGAAGCTGATGTTGTTGATGATGATGATGCTGATGATGATGATGATGATGATGATGATGATGATGATGATGATGATGATGATGATGATGATGATGATGATGATGATGATGATGATGATGTGATGATGATGATGATGGGCTGATGCTGATACTGTGCTGATGCTGATGAGATGAGATGGTGGTGTGCTGATGATGAATGATGCTGAGGATGAGGATGAGGAGGAGGAGAGGAGGAGGAGGAGGAGGAGAGGAGGAGGAGGAGGAGGATGAGGAGGAGGGAGGAGGAGGAGGAGGAGGAAATGAAAGAGGAGGAGGAGGAGGAGGAGGAGGAGGAGGAGGAGGGAGGAGGTAGGAGGAGGAGGAGGAGGGGGAGCAGGAGGAGGGGGAGGAGGGAGGAGGAGAAGAGGAGGAGGAGGAGGAGGAGGAGGAGGAGGAGGAGGAGGAGGAGGAGGAGGAGGAGGAGGAGGAGGGGGGAGAGGATGAGGAGGAGGAGGAGGAGGAGGAGGAGGAGGAGGAGGAGGAAGACGAGCAGGAGCAGGAGCAGGAGCAGGGTGGGAGAAGGTGGAGGCCAAGCAACGCTTTCAACACTCTCGACCGCCAAGCCCTCCTGCAAGCGGTGCACGAGGAGCTGCCCGCTCTTGCGCCCTGGGCTTCCTGGTGCTACCGGGCCCCCTCCCTGCTCTGGCTCGGCCGGCACTCGATCCGCTCGGAATGCGGCGTGCAGCAGGGGGACCCACTGGGGCCGCTGCTCTTCTCCCTAGCGCTGCAGCGCGCTGCCGAGAGGGCTCTCCGCCAGCCCGCCCCCGCGGCCGCGGGCGCCCTGGACCTGACTTTCTTTTTCCTCGACGACGGCACCCTTGCGGCGGGCGACTGGCAGGCCGTGGCGCGCCTGCTCCACCTGCTGGTGGGAGAGCTGGCGACAGTGGGACTCCGCCTGAGCACGGGGCCCGGGAAATGTGAAGTGGTCCCCACTGGCGGTAACGACAGCGAGGTGGATCTGCAGGCCTTCCCCCCGGGCTTCCGCCTGCGCACGGACGGCTGCTTCGAGCTCCTGGGCGCGCCAGTCGGCAGCGACGCCTTCTGCCTCGAGCACACCCGGCAGCGAGTCGACAAGGCCACCGAGCTCCTTGACGCACCCGGTGCCCTCGAGCACGCCCAGGTTGCGCTCCACCTGCTACGGCAGTGCGCTGGCTTCTGCAGACTCAGCTACTCGGCGCGGGTTGTCCCGCCCAATGTGCACACGGAAGCGCTGGTCAAGCTGGACAACGCAGTGCGCGCCAGCCTCGAGCAGCTGAGCAGCAGCTCCCCCACGGACGACTCCTGGGCACAGGCGCAGCTCGCCCTCAAGGCAGGCGGCCTGGGGCTGCGCTCGGCGGAGCGCCACGCGCCCGCCGCCTACTTGGCTTCCCGCTCGGCCTGCTCTGCGCTCTGCCAGCAGCTCTGGGCGGGCTACTCCGACGACGACACAGGCGCCGACGGCGCCCTGGGCGCTGCCGCGGCGGCCTACAACGCCCGGTTAACACCGGCAGATCGGATCGCTTTCGACGCCAGCCAGCACGGCAACCAGCGGGGGCTCTTTGACCGGCTGGACCAGGCCGCCAAGGCCGAACTCTGGGAACGCGCTTGCCCCGCCACCAGGGCCCACCTCTCGCTGGTCAGTGCCCCTGGCGCCAGCGGCTGGCTGCAGGCGCGGCCCTGTGCTGAGGTTGGTACGGAGTTCCCGCGCGGCTTGATGCAGATTGCTCTGCAGAGGCGCTTGCGGGTGCAGCTGGCGGACGCAGAGACCTTCTGCCCGGCTTGCGACGGCATCCTCGACGTCTACGGCGACCACGCGCTGGTCTGTCCTTGCCGAGGGGACCGAGTCAAGCGGCACAACGCCTTACGAGACCAGGTTGTCTTCGCCGCGCAAGCCGCGGGGTTCCCAGGCTCCGAGCTCGAACGGCCTGGCCTTCTGCAGCCTCGCGCGAGCGGCGAGGGCCCGCCTGGGACGGAAGAGAGCGGCGGCGCGCTCGACGACGGCGGCCGGCGCCCGGCGGATGTGTATATTCCCCGTTGGCGTAACGGCGCCCCGGCCGCCCTTGATTTCGCGGTCACCTCGGGGCTGCGGGGCGACCTGCTCGCCGCCTCGGCTGCCGCGCCTGGTGCCGCGGCCGGGCGCTACGAGGAGCAAAAACGCCTCTTCCTCAACACCGAGCGCAGCTGCGCCGCCGCCGGGATCACCTTCATTCCCATGGTGGTCGAGGCGCACGGCGGCGGCTGGGGCAAGGAGGCGCGACGCGCCCTGGCCGTCCTGGCCAAGCGCGCGGCACACGCCACGGGGGACGACCCCTCGCAGGTGGCGGCGGAGCACGCCCAGCGACTCTCGCATCTCCTCCAAAGGGAGAACGCGCGGGCCGTGCTCCGCAGGCTACAGGCGCCGGTCGGGGCGTCCGCGGCCAGGTTTGCGGCGGCCACGGTGGCCAACGCGGCCGACGCCGCCTGAGCCGCCGGCCCACTCCCCCTCCCCTGACTACGACCACCGCCCCCGGCCCGCCCCAACGACCGCGACCGCCCCCGACGCCCTGCCCTGACTTGACCACGGCCGCCCCGACGACCACGACCGCCCCCGACGACCACGACAGCCCCCGACGACCAACGCCCCCGACGCCCTGCCCTGACCACGACCGCCCCGACGACCACGACCTTCCCCGACGACCACGACCGCCCCCGACGACCAACGCCCCCGACGCCCTGCCCTGACCACGACCGCCCCCTCCCCCGTCCACGACGACGACCTCCCCCGTCGGCCCCCTCGTTCCTGCTTGCTCTGCGCTGCCTCTGCCGCCCCCCTCCCTCCTCCTGTCCTGTTCGGCGTTCGTTCGCATTGTTTTTTCTTCTTGCCCCTCCTCCTCCTCCTCCTCCTCCTCCTCCTCCTCCTCCTCCTCCTCCTCCTCCTCCTCCTCCTCCTCCTCCTCCTCCTCCTCCTCCCCACCCGCCCGAGGGAGGCGCTGGTCGGGACGGGACCGAACGAGCTGCCGAGCAGGCTCTGGAGGCTACAGCGCCACCGGCTCTCACAGAGCATCGTTGCTTGGAACGCCTGCGCCGCTGGAGGAGGGCAGGCCGCAGGAGATTCTTCGATCGCGTTAGAGCACCATTTCTGCGGCGTCTTGGAGTTTTCGAAGGTGGAGGAGGAGGAGGGAGGAGGAGGAGGAGGAGGAGGAGGAGGAGGAGGAGGAGGAGGAGAAGAGCACGAGCAGGAGCAGGAGCAGGGTGGGAGAATGTGGAGGAGGAGGAGGGAGGAGGAGGAGGGAGGAGGAGGAGGGAGGAGGAGGAGGGAGGAGGAGGGGGAGGAGGAGGATCTCTGATTCGGCTGTCCCCGTCGCATCGGGGCCCGCAGGCGAGAACGGTGGACGTCGTCCGCGGGGGCCCGCACGGCCTCGACGCCCACGACCGCCCGCCGCCGCCGATCAGCGTTTCGCTTTTTGAGCCTCTTCAGACGATCGGCGCGGACCGACGACGACGACGGCGACGGCGACGGCGACGGCGACGGCGACGCACTGCGGATGCTCCATGGGGGGGTGGGGGCGGGAGTGCTGCGCATGGCCGCCGTTGTCGTCGTCAACGACGACGACGACGACGACGACCGTCGGCCGCCGCCGCCGCCGTCGTCGTCATCATCGTCGTCGTTGTCGTATTTGTCGTCGTCGTCGCCGCCGCCGCCGCTCGGCGCTCCGCGTCTACCTTTTCCAGCGATCGTCGGTGGCGGCAGCTCTTTGTCTGGGGCCGCGCGGCCCCCGCGCGCCAGGCGCCCACAGCTCCGACGAATGTGCTTTGTTCGACCGGCAGTGTTTCCGGGCCTGGCCGTTCGATCGTCGATGCATCTTGGGCTTGCACTGGTCCTCCTCCTCCTCCTCCTCCTCCTCCTCCTCCTCCTCCTCCTCCTCCTCCTCCTCCTCCTCCTAAATGCTTGGCTAAACGTTCTTCCCTCACGGCCATTGTAACAACTCCTTGTCTTTTCCGTTTGTTCGTCGGGTGCTCTGTTCGATCGGCCTGGGCCGCTTCTGGGGGCCCGGGACGAGCAGACACGGGGTCTAGGAAGGAAAGGTACCCCCAAGGGATAAGAGGTGCCCGCGCTTGTATTTCCCCCACCCCGTCTACACCTCGCTCTCACCCTTGTCCCGAATGCGCCCCCCCGCTCCGCTGGGTTGGGCCGTGGGGCGGGGCAGGAAAGGTTGGCTGCAAGGAGAGCCCCCCCGGGGAGGCGGTCTGGATCCACCCCGGGGCCGCGGAGCGAAAGAAATATCACATCGGCGGATGCCCGTGGCGGCGGCCGCAGCGGCTTCTTTTGCTGGAGGAGGACGAGGTGCCGCCTCGGCCCTCGAGGCGTGACACAACGCGACGGGAGGTCTTTTGCTTGTCTTCGGCGTCCTGGGGGCTCTCGCCGGGCCCCCTGTGCCGTCAAGACACCGCTCAGGATGAAAAGCCGGTACTGGGGAATGGGTCGAGGCCTTTGGAGGGTCGACGCTGTTTTTATATTTAACAAAATGACGTCGGGTATGTGGGGCTTCCGCTACCCCTGACCTCCTGGAAGGCCCTCGTCGCCACGGCTAGATTCGCCTTGGAGTTCTGGTCAGGACGCACCCCAGGGGAGGTCCGGGGAGTAGCGGTGTCGAGCTTGAGGGAAACACATCGCCGCGACTTTCTTGCGACGCCCGTGCCTGAGGTCCGTGTTTTGGGTAGACCGGGGACGCATTCAGAAGGGCCGCGGCGCCCGACACATCCTCCTCAGAATCGCTGGATCTCAAACATCCCCGATGTATCCCGGTCCGATGATGTCCCGCCGTTGGCTTCGTGTCGAGCCTCCTGGGGCCTGCACGTCATGTAGGCGCACCGAACAAGAGACTGGCCTCCCAGTTCCAAGCGGTGCCCCACAGTTACCCCCCCGTGGGTCTGCAGAGCCTTGGGGCACCTTGCGAACTCCAGACTCGGACCCCATGGACCACTGCCCCGGGACCAGTTTTTCATCCTCTGGTTTTTTGTAACGGCCTCGGAGCCCGGCCAGGGTCCACGGGCCCTTGCCGAGCTTCAGGGCCGTCAAAAAGCCAGAAACTAGTGCACCAAAAAGATCCCGTCGCAATCTTTTCACCACGAGAGGAGGTGGGCGTATCCCTCGACCTGCTCCTTCCGCGCGGCAGTTGCCGCGCTGCCGCGGCCGCAGCAGCCGCGCGGCCGCATCGCGTCATGACCTTCCGGCACCTTCCGCGCGGAAAGTGCGGCAGGTGCAGGTCGACGGATGCGCCCAAAATCGCCGAGCGCGTTCCACTACTCGCAAAGTGCCTCCTCGCCAACGTCCGAAAAGCCATGCGTCTGCATGTGTGGAGAATACATCGTCAACCCTCCGCGGCGGATCCAGGCCACTTGCGAGTAGTTTCTTTTTGCGAGTCGTGGAAGACGCGCTCGTCTACCAAAGGCTTCCCGTGGCCAGGCTTCTCGTCGCGCGCGCCTGCCGCCGCAGCTCCCCGCGGGCCCCCCCCCCCCGGCAGGAGAGGCGGCACGAGCCCGCGCCGCCGCACCCGCAGGCGGCGCCGCCCGGCCACCCCGGCCGGGCGGCGAGCGTCCCGGCACCACCAGGCGGCCAAGAATTCGACGCGGACCAGGACGTGATGGCCCGGTGGGCGGGCTCGGCGGCCAAAGTCGAGGAAGAGAAAGCCACGTAAACATGCAGTCCACCTGGACTGTAAGGATGGGCAACTTTCCCGAGGGTAGCCCTGAATCCTTGCCTCCTCGGTCCATCCTTGGCCAGTTCGCTGGCCGCGCCCCGCTCGAAAAGCTTCGAGATGGGCGTCCAAGGCCCTTGCGTCCTTATCGCGCATCCTTGCTATACTGGTTGACTGTAAACTTTTGGCGCTCCGCGCGGATTTCGTGGATCCGCGCCTGGGCCCCCCTGGTTGCGCCTCTGGCGCCGCCCCTGGCGCGCTCCGCGCGCCAGGGAGGGGGCTCCAGCGCGGATCCAAGAGATCCACGCGAAGCGCCAAAAGTTTTATGTTTATGTGTTGTTGTTCTTCTTCTGCGAAAGCCAGTTTCCCTCCAACTGTTTCAGAGGCTCGCGTCAGTTCTCGGACGCTTCCCTGTACCTTCGGGATGCGACGCGGGCGCTGCTCGTTCCATGATGTCGACCCTCGGAGGCCGTTTCCGTGCCCCAGGGTGATGAAAAATGGACCGGGGACGGAAAGATACACCCCGGAAAGCGGTCGGGACCTCCTTGGGACCGCGGATGGACAAACACATCGGCGGATGCCAGGGTCCTACACAAGCTTTGGGGCGGCCAAGAGGGTGGTGATGATGGCGGGAGCCAGGACATTTCCCCAGATTTCATTGCCCCCTCTTCTTACTTCACGTCCCCTGCCCTGACTTCGATCGGACCCGCCCTAATTTGGGCGCTTTCGCAAGCTGGCAGAAATCCCCGCCTTCCATTCAAGCTCCTCTGATGTCGATGCACGCCCTAGTTCGCCGTCGTTGCTTCTGCCATATGTTTGCGGAAATGTCCGCTCTACTGCTCCTGAGGCGAAAATTAGGGGAACAAAAAGTGACATAAACATAAAAACTCGGAGGTCCGCGCGGATTTCTCGGATCGGCGCTGGGCCCCCCCAGCGGCGCCTCCGGCGCCGCCCCTGGCGCGCTCCGCGCGCCAGGGAGGGGGTCCAGCGCAGATCCGAGAAATCCGCGCGGACCTCCGAGTTTTTATGTTCATGTCACTTGTTCCCCTAAAAATGTCCGGCCCGTTTTTTCGCAGCCCCTGGGTTGCATTTCCGATACAGTGCAAGTAGGAAAAAATCAACAGAGCACGGCGGACTCGAAGCGAGGGCGGCCCCTCTGGGCCGCGCACGTGCCTCGGGCCACGAGTTGCAAAGGCCCCCTCTTGGACAGCCCCGCCATTGGACGCCCCCGCCACGCGGTCTTTCCCTTCCGCGGTATCACCCTGGTCACCAGCCGCCCCTCGGAGAGTCTGCTGGACCTGTGGTCCCACCAGCGAACCACACGGGAGCACCATGGGCACCCACCGTCGAGTGGACGTCGATTCGGCTCTCGGACGTCTTACTCAGCACCCACCGGCATAGGTCCGCGAAATTGTCGCACCGCCTTCGGAATCACGAGATACAGCGGAATCATTGTGCGCCTTCGAAATTGTCGCACCGCTGTCGCGAGATTCGTCCCTCGGAATCTAACGAGGCGGCAACGAGGCGGCAACGGGCGGCAACGTGGCGAGCACCCAGCGCACGAGGCGACAACGAGGCGGCAACGGGTCGGCAACGAGGCGGCAACGGGCGGCAACGTGGCGAAACCTCGCAGGGCCCACACAGCGCACGAGGCGGCAACGAGGCGGCAACGGGCGGCAACGTGGCGAAACCTCGCAGGGCCCACACAGCGCACGAGGCGGCAACGAGGCGGCAACGGGCGGCAACGTGGCGAACCCTCGTCGGGCCCACACAGCGCACGAGGCGGCAACGGGGCGGCAACGAGGCGGGCAACGGAGCAAAACCTCTCCGGACCCACCAAGCTCACGAGGCAGCACTGCAACGAGGCGGCAACGGGTCGGCAACGTTGTGAAACCTCGCCGGACCCGCCCAGCGCACGAGGTGGCAACGAGGCGTCAACGGGCGGCAACGTGGCGAAACCTCGCTGGACCCACCCAGCGCGCGAGGCGGCAACGCAGCGAGGCGGTGGCAACGTGGCGAAGCCTCGCCCGATGCACCGAGCGAACGAGGAGGCAACCAGGCGGGACCCGCCCAGCACGTGTCGGCAGCGAGGCGGCAGCGGGCGGCAGCGTGGCGGACCATCCAGTCTTCTCGTGGGGTTGGCTGGCCTGACGACGCGGTGGGGGGACCAGCTGTGGGGTGATCCTGCCGTGCCGTGCCCGTGCCGCGCAGAGCTGGAAGCGCGAGGAGGGGAGGCGAGGGGCCCTCCCTGCCCACCACGCCCACCCATGGAACTGCCGAGAGGGCTCGATTCGACTCGCCCTCCCCCCGTCCCAACCGAGTGGCTCCGTGGTTGCCCGGCCACCTTCCCGCCGAACGCCCTCCTGCCAGCTCCCGAAGGCTGGCGTCCGCAGCCCCCTCTGCACCGCCTGCGCCTCCTTGCTCTGCTTCGTCCTCCTGGGCCAGCAGCTGGACCGAGAAGCCCCCGTCACATCGGTTGGGAGGCTGGCGCTCTTGATGCCGAGCTGCCCTGGCGGGCAACAGAAGAGTTCTTAGGATGCAACCCTTGGGAGGTTGAACTCAGCATCGGCGCTGGCACAGCGATCCCTGGTCGAAGCTCGGCCGAGTCCCGCATGACCCTGCTTCATCCGATAATCTCCGTCTTAGCCAGGCTTGACCCTGGGCTTCATCGGGCTCGTTGGCCCCCCTCCTCGGGCCGAGTTGCCCCGACCGAACCGCTCTCGCGAAGGCCTCCCAGGAGTTGCCTCCCGGGGGCTCCCAAAGGTTGACGAACCAGATGGCCAGCACCTACGCGTCGCTGCGGGCGAGCCTGCCGTCGATGAGGGGCAGCCTGCGCCGGCCCAGGCTGAGCTGCGTCTGAGCCGCGGCCCGTGCCTGGCGAGAGCGGCGCGCCCCCCTCGCCGAGCCCCACGCTCGCCCCGAGACCCTCCGGGCTGCACGCGGGAAAGCTGGAGCAGCCACTGGTCGTCGCCATCGTATTCCTCGTTCATGGGCCTGCTTTTCCACCGCCGCCACCATAAGTCGGAGGGGGGGAAGGAGGAGGTGGAGGAGGAGGGGGACGAGGAGGAGGAGGAGGAGGAGGAGGAGGACCCCCTCCCCCTCCTACTTATGGTTGTGGAGGTGGTGGGAAACAGGCCCACCATTTGTTTTGCCGATCGGCGCCTGCCCTCGCACAACCCCTCCCCCCCCCCACATGGAGTAGATCTTGGCTGTTTCTTGGCGCCGCCCCTACTCCTGCACGCCGGCCAATTCGCTTTGTATAGTGCCCCTGCATCGCTCCCACGCTGGGGCGGATCGCCCCGCCTCGCCGCCGACGGAAAAAGTTGTCTGGTGCCTCTTTCAAGCCGTTGGAGCCTCCCCCCCAGGACGCACCCTTGCAAACAGTCGCACTGAGCAGAGGTCCGGAGCCAGACCCCCCCTCTCCCTCCCCCCCACGTTCGCTCCATGTCGAAGCGCCGGATATAAGAACACGTTCACCTGCTGCGCACCTGGACACCTCACACGGCAGGCTCGCAGGTTCGCGTGGCGTCGACCAGCGCCGGCCCCGCCGCCAGCGTTCAACGCGGACCGCCGCCGGCGACCCAGAATCGACCAAGGTGTAAGCCCCTACAAACGGGGCGTTAGTCATCGGCACAGTAGCCAAGGGTGCGTTTTCAATGGTGCTTTCAAAAAACTTATTTGCCGTGCACAAGTGCGAGGTAAACCCCTCCACTTATAGTTTATAGTTATGATGATAGATCGACGTTTTTGCCGTCCCGATGTATCACGCACGAGTGCGAGGCAAATGCCCTGTCGCCCCGTCCTCGCTTGAAGAGGCCCCGTAGCTACAACCTGGAACGAGCGGACGATCGAAAACCTGCCGATCGCTCAAGATTCAACGATCCACGCGGTGTCAGGAACCAGCGCAGGGGTCGTCACGACACGAGCCTGCCGGGCTGCCGTGCCTAGCTCTCCCCTCGTCTGTGCTCTTCAATCCCTGCGGCTCTGCCCAGATCCCGGCCCTCGGGGGCCGTTGTCGTGCCCTCGGGCCCTCCAAGAGGGATCCGGGGCGCAAACTGCCCCCGGGGACGTGGTCCAGAGCTCTGTGGTCGTGGAGTGAAGCAAAAACGACGTGCAGTCAAAACGCTGAAATTAGGACCACCTTGGACTCTGGAGGGGCTCGAGTTTTCGAACCGCTCCTTCGACATAGGGTTTGGGGCCTTATACACGTGGCCGAGGCTCGCCGTGGCCAGAGAAAAGCCTCTTCGTTCCTTTCTTGGCGTTCCTCATGGTAGCACGATGGCTGCATGGGTGGATGTGTGGGTGTGGTGGGAGCGTTGGTTCAGGAATGCGCCCAGGATGCTGCAGACCCTGGAGGATTCCCTATCTGATGAGGTCGGTGGTGATATCCCTGGCCAAGCCTCGATTGGAGTTCCACCGGCCTCCAGACCCTGGATTCTTTATCTAAGGGTTTCTTATCCAATGCCCCCACCGTGCAAGACTTGCCAGCGACACGGTCATGAGCGTGCGGCGCGCGGAGCTCTCGGGTCGGATCCTGGCCCTCCTCCGAGCGCGCCAGGGGCAGCGCTGGGGGCGCCGCCAGGGTTCGTGAGAGGGCGTCGACGCAAGAACTCCGCGCGGACCTCCGCGAGTGAGTACAGCGGGGCCCATGCCAAGAAACATCCTGCTTGCCTCCAGGGTGCCCTAGGTTTCTTGGGTTTCGATGGTTTTGCCATGGAGAGCGCGACGGTCCTATACAAGAAATCGATGGACACCCTGCGGTCTCTGGGTTAGGGTTCTTGCGGAAGGTTTCTTGTGGACCCGAGAAAACTGTAGACCATACCCACAAGACCCGGGGGGCGAGCGAGGGTCCTGTCGTGGGCCTGGAGTACAAAATTCCCCTCTTGGGGCGTGGATTTTGTATACTGAAAGTGGCCCTGGGCGGTGGAATCTGACTGGGGCGGGGAGGGTGTGGTATACAAAATAATCTGGAGGACTTTGGGTATTCTTCCCCCGCTGTGTACCCACAATTTACCCGCCTTGTCTTTGTCCCGAGAGGCCTTTTCTCACAGTTTCCCAGCACGTGTGCCCAGACGCTCTCCAGAAGCTCCTTCGGAATCTTCGTCCGAGAGGTTCCATAGCTCCAGAAGCTTTTGGAAGGCTTTTCTGGCGTTCCACTATCCGGGTATTGGGCTCCGCAAGTGTACCCACAATGCCCAGAGCCCTAGACCCTACACTCGAAATGCGGCCACATTGCAGCATCGTAAACAATCACGCCGGAAGCCATTAGACCCCATCGTTCTGCGTCGTTTTTCGAGCCGGATCGATCTGTGAGGGTCCCGGGGCCCCAAAAAAGGCGCAACCCCCCGGCTCGAAAAAGTTGAGACGCCGGGATCTCAGGGTTGTCTTCGTCCTGCATTCGAGACGTGGCCACGCGACCGCGGGTCAAGAGCACGAGCCCCTTCGCCAGAGGCCCAGGGCCCCACGCAGATAGACCCCGGAGCGAAGAGCGCCCCAAGGCGTGGAGGGCCCGAGTCCGAAGAGCACCAAGGCACCCCGCCAGGCGCAGACACCCTCGGGCAGTGAAACATGGTGACGGGCGGTTGTTCCATACACAGTTGTTCACTTCTGATTCTTCGAAAGTGCTTTGATTTTTTTGGGGGGGCCAGGATCCTTTCATTCCTAATTGTCCTATATCCTGGGCCTCTTCCTGGCCGCCAGGGGGCCAGGGACAATTATAAGCGAACGCAGTTAGAAATGAGCACGGTCAGAAATGAATGACGTGTACTCTCTGCCTCTGGAGGCCCTTGCCGGCCCTCAGGACCGTCAAGCATCGGTTCGGGAGGAAAAGCCTGTGCAGGGGAAGGGGTCGAGACCTCTGAGGGTCGACGGTATGGGAAGGCCACGACGTCGGGGGTCTGGGGAGCTGGGCTTCTCCTCCCGCTTCTTCTTGTTCCTCGTGCCAGCTGCGCTCCCTCTCATGCAGGGGCGGAGCGCGAGGGAGAGGGCGTGTCGCTGCGCTGCGCGCGCGAGGGGGGAAGACGCCTCCTACAAGAGCTCCCGGCCAGGAACAGGAAGGGCGAGTAAGGTGAGGAGGTTCGGTCAGTTCAACGGCCGCGTCGCCAGTGGGTCGCGTCCGGTCGGTTGTTGTGTCGTTGCTGCTTCGCTGCGCCCCTCTGGACCGCTTGTCGCCATCCACCAAGCCACCCCAACCCAACCCGAGGGCCTCAATTTGCCCTCCATTTCCAGTGGGGGGGGAGTCGGGGAACGTTGAAAAACCACAGGGATCCCGTACCCCCCCACCCGAAATTCGGGTCAAATTCGGGTCCTCAGTTATGATGTTCCAACCTACTTTTTAGCCTTGATCACCAAAAAGAATTTCGAGCGCCAGAAAAGTACCGAAACTCGTTGGTTTTCACGTGTCGGGCCCTGGGAGACACTCGTCCGACACTCTTTCGAGACTTTTCCGGGTGATCGAAACTATTTCTGGGATGTGGTCCTTCAGTGCGATGGGAGCAACAGAATTCTTCGGGTTGGGTTGGGGTGGTCTGGTAGCTGGTCAGCTTGTGGCCCGCCAGTTTCGGCAGTTTTCGGCGTCGGCTCGGCTGTCCTTCTGTTCTGCTGCCGCCGTGGGCGCCTGCAGTGCTTTGTCCCAGGTCTCGGTGCGCCGCCCGGCTTCCCCACCTCCTGCGTGGGGCCTCCTCCTCCTCCTCCTCCTCCTTCTTATCCTCCTCCTTATCCTCCTCCTTATCCTCCTCCTTATCATCCTCCTCCTCCTCCTCCTCATCCCCAGAACCTTCTTACCTCCTCCTCCTCCACCCTCCTCCCCCCCCTCCTGCGCCTCCCCTCCCCTCCCCCTTCCTCCCCTCCTCCCTCTCCTCCCCCTCCTCCCTCCCCCTCCTCCTCCTCCTCCCCCTCCTCCTCCTCCGTTTTCTCTGGGCATCCCTCGGCCTCCTTTCGCCCTCGTCCAGCCATCACATCCCACCTTTCTCGTCTGCCCCTCCAGGGAGGCCGCACCAGACAGCGCCAGGCTCCCAAGAGCCTTCCCAAGAGGGCCTCGAGATGCAAACGTCACTGTGCTTCCTGAATCGTTTCGATGTTTTTTGGGGTTCTCGCCTTTTCTTGCTTCCGACGCCCAAAGACGGCCCCAGAGGCCACCTGGACTGCCCCAAGACGGCCCTCCCCTTCGTGCTCGAAGCTGCAGTATCCTGCGAGGAATAGTGGCCTGGGGAAGAGGGGGCGGTGCATGCGGCTGACGGATTAAATTTGTTAGGCTCGGGCCCGCTACGAATTTCCGGAGTTTGGGTCCCGTCGGGGATTTGGGGTGCACACAGGTTTTGAGATGTGCACAGGTTCCGTGGTTGTCGCAGGCGTCAAGCGTTGTGGTGCACATGGTTGATGTGGCTGCACAAGCCTCGTGTTGTACACAGGCGCTGTGGTGCATCAGCGACTGCGGGCCAAACAGAAATCAGGATCGTTCCCCGATCCAGAAACATCAATACTCACAAATAGCTTCCGCATTGAATTTAGTAGGCTCGGGTCCACATCTGGTTTTCTGAGCTTGGGCCCCGTGGGGAGTGCACACAGGCTTCATGGTGTACACACACACACTGGGGGTCGCGCGCGACATGCGTTGTGGTGCACACGGCCGTTGTGGATGCGCAAGCATCATCTTGTACAGGCGCTGTGGTGCACGCAGGCATTGCGGGCCAAAAACCCAGGGCCGCCCCCCTGACCAGAAATATCGATAGTCACAGGTAACCTACACATTGGAATATGATAGCCTGGTTCGGTCACCCACGGATTTTCTGGAGCTCGGGCCCCTGCCGGTAACTCAGGGTGTACATAAGTTTCGCGATGTACCGGATGCTGTAGTTGCGCAAGCATCGTGTTGTATATTGACAGGCGTTTTGGTGCACGCAGGATTTGTTGCGTGCACAAAGGCGCTGTGGTGTACACGTTCATTGCTTTGTACGCAGACATTGCC